GCCATGTTGGAGATATTTCGGCACTGCTCACAACTCGTTTCTTAAGACCTAGGCAGCTCATAAGACCTAAGGCCTAAGAGAATTGTACTGTGTAGAGCAGCCCTGCCACTTAAAAAGTATATAAATAGTTATAAGTGAGCTTGTTTCGTCATATCTGATGCCTGGTTCAATATCTACCAAAGTGAAACATTCTCTTTAACGTGCAACAGAGTCAATTATTATGTCCCAAAGATATGTATTATGTTGTGCATCTGACCCTGCGGCGGCCTGTAGATGCTACCGTCTTATAGTGAAATAGCGTATATGTATGCGATGCGGTTTAATTTTGTTTTCCTGCTCGTTCTGGGGCCGGAACGCTATGCGCGCCTGTGTCGGGGGGGGGGGGGGGGGGGGGGGGGGGGGGAGGCGGCTTGGCTGAGGACGTGACCATGCGCGACTGCGTACCCGGCACGATGTTGGGCATGGTATAATGTAGCTGTCAACCATGGACCCAGCCAATACCTGAGTCGACCAGGTCTGAGTCTTCACGGCTATCTGCCGCCATAGAGAACATTAACGACATTTATGTCGTATATCGTCAGGGCAAGAGCACCATCAAGGAAGTAAACGGGAACAGATTGGATGACTGTGTGAGTGCGCGTGCACGCGTGCGTGCGTGTGTGTGTGTGTGTGTGTGTGTGTGTGTGTGTGGTGTGTGTGTGTGTGTGTGTGTGTGCGTGTGTGCGTGTGTGTGTGTGTGTGTGTGTGTGTGTGTGTGTGTGTGTGTGTGTGTGTGTGTGTGTTGTGTGTGTGTGTTGTGTTGTGTGTGTGTGTGTGTGTGTGTGTGTGTGTGTGTGTGTGTGTGTGTGTGTGTGTGTGTGTGTGTGTGTGTGTGTGTGTGTGTGTGTGTGTGTGTGTGTGTGTGTGTGTGTGTGTGTGTGGTGTGTGTGTGTGTGTGTGTTTGTATGCGTGGGCGTGGGCATGTGCATGCGTGCTCGGTGTGAAATTCTGCTGCTCTTTAGTTATTATTTCGTCCTCTAGCCCTCTTAGATATGACTCATTTCTAGCCTAATTCACTGATATTGAAAATCTTGACTCGTCAGTTGTTGATTTGGAGATTGTTGGTACCATACGACTTTGGAGCCAACCCGCGCTGCTGTAATTTGAACTTTCAAACCGTTGTGTCCTCTGATTTGTAAGTATTTGGTGCTTATGCATGCTCCCCAAAGCAAATTTACGTTTAAACACCTTGACACCTAACCGCATGTCTTTGGTGCTCTTCGCTAAATATCCACCACTGCCGGCTGTGTCCTGAATCCTCGCCGTCACTAGCTATTGCTCAACAGATGCACCCATTCTGACTCGTGTAATGAACCCGACCGTGGACCTTGTTCGCTAAAGCGGAAATGCGGCAGTGACAGGCATAATCGTCACGGACTGTTGAACGTGTTCGGAGCTGGCGGATGACGCTGCGAGTCGGCGGCTTCTAGTGCTCATCCCCGACAAGCCGTGACAGCTGAAAAACCGACCCAGCGCGCAGATGAGGGGGCCTGAAGGGTGCGCGCCCGGCTGGGCCCGCTGGGCTGCGCGTGGGCAAATGAGCATGGGGTTTGTAGCTGTGTGCAACGAATCAGCAGCCGTTTACGTAAGAGTTTAATGCTACCTTTTATGTATGACGGGCAACGACCGGCCACAATTTCATCACCGATGTATGCTGTCTTACCCGCGAAATCATACCAGTGCGACAATCGCTCCGCTCATCAAGGTACGCAACACACACGCGCATGCGCTTGGTCGCGTATGCCACTCAGCCGTAGCAGCGTTTTTTTTTAGAGGAAGGATGGCGACGAATCGAATACTTTGCGTAAGGCTCTATGGGTTCATTTGAGGCATTACTTTAGACGTAACTGCTGATGTACTTGCATCTTCCAAAACACACCGTCCTCATCTTTGAAAATATGCCGGGTGAACGTTAAATATAACGCTTTAGTGTAAATCGCTACCTTAATATTTTACATGTTGTTTGGAACCGGTTCATCTCTCCGACTTCTTGAGCTAGTGCATTGTAGAAGGCATCTGCCTAGTGCCGAGGCTGCTTTCTGCCAGATTCCAGATGTTCTGGGCTATCCTCAATTCTAACGCTGCTAAACACCATGTGCGTGACCTCTTAATACCAAGCGCACGTTATGGTAACTATAGCATCCTACTGGTAGGGCTCGAGCAACATTAGCCAACGATTTTCCGTAATATTTTTACCTTCTGAACGTAATGAAGTGCGTTCTTTTCTAAAGGGAGCGTAGTATAGTCGATGGGACTGGCACAACCGCTCCCGTAACTGCTCAGCAAGCACCACCGAGGCCACTACTCGTGCAGAAGTACAGAAATAGCTGTACCATTTGGCTCACCTCATATGCACTGCTTTCAAGCCACGTCTAATTGTTGCGCGCACGTAATCACTTCCTGTAAGCAATCGATCTGATGGCATCCTTCTCTACATAGTTACGCCATTTGCACCTGTGTGTAGCGGCCTTGTTGGCACGGCGTTGCTTGTTGTTCTGTGGGGGAGGTAGGGTCTACAAAACCGGCATATGATGCAGACACGCAAGTTCTCCGAAACGGATTCCGTGCAGTAAGGCGAGTCATGAAGAGGCAACATCGAGACCTGACCTGAGGTCAAACACCTCGAAAACGCGAAGGAAAAATTGGTACGCAAATGCAGACAACTCAGATCTCAGAGCCCACTGCACCGATCGCTGTGATATCTTCACCAATGGAGGCCCCACACCTGATTTCCTGCTGCAGTTCTAAATTTGGTGACCCTAGGTCAGCTCAAAAGCCGTCAAATTTCATCAAGTCTAGAATTCTTGCTGGCAGACATCTTATGGCTCAGATTCTACCACGCCGATAGCTGCCAAACCTTACCATCCAGTGCGCCATTTACCCTAACGCTCTGCTGAACCTGTAATATGGCACAAGTTACAATGATGTCTTTTGCTGCATGTTTGTTCCTAAAAAAAACGTGCGGCTTGGTTGGGCCGGTCTTATGGGGTTGACTTTCTCCTTAGCAAAGGTTTTGTGCTAAAAATCACGCGCTGAATAGTGCATGATGTCGCCACAATCCGAATCAGTTCGGTCGCCACGATTCGGTTGAATTCGGCGGACTTCGCAACGACTCGCAAAAAAAAACTGTTGCGGGGGCATTTGCATAATCACGACAAAGCGGCTTTAGCACACCATGCACAACAATCAGCCACGCACCATCACGTGTTTACCGCCAAAGTTCTGTTAATCGTGGCGACACCACGCACAATTCCGCGCGTGATTTTCAGTACAACACCTCCGCTAGGGAAAAGGCACAATCGGAAACAGCACCTTACTTGCAGCTTCAACAGAGAATTAAAGGTAAATGACGTACTGGATGGTAAGGTTTGGCAGCTATCAGTGTTGTAGATTCTGAGTTGCAAGTTGTCTGCAAGCAATAATTTTAGACTTGGTGACATTTGGCAGCTTTTGACCTGACCTAAGGTCCCCAAATTTGGAACTGCAACAGGAAATCAGGTACGGGGTAGAAGGTTCCGGTGGTGAAGGTTCCACAGCGATCGGTGCAGGCTCTGATATCTGAGCTTTCTGCATGCGCGGGCAAAATCCTCCCTTCGCGTTTTCAAGGTGTTAAACCTCAGGTCAGGTCTCGATATTGCCCCCCCCCCCCCCCATGACTCACCTCATTGCACGGAATTGATTGGTGAAAGTTTCAAGGCGATCAGACGAGAGGTTTCATAGACCTCGCGCGCCTGTGTCGTGTGGCGGTTTTTTAGACCGTACCTGCGGGGGATGGAGCCTCTCAGCAGGACTTGGGTCCGACCCGTGGCTCCTGACCCCTGGACCCCTAGACCCCTGGACCCCTGAGACCCTCGGGATCCAGGTCTCCTGGCTCCGTGCCTCTGTTGAGCGAGACGCGCTCTCTTTCATGTCAGTATGCTGGACAACACTGACCTAGAAGCTCTGAGATGCTCAAAGCCATGCCATTTAACGTCATGTAGCTTTGCACCACTTTGTGAAGCGCTTCAGTCGGCTTCGTGGGTCTCTGCCTTGGCGCCATTGCCTAAGAGGTGGTCCGTAAATTACAAGCTTATTTATTCTGCCTACATGTACAGACGTTTCGTATGACAGATTTGTACACATGACTGTACAATGAAATCTATATTTACAAAATCGGGAATCCACAGTTGCAGACAACTTAACTTTCAACATGTCGTTCTTCCTGACAACATTGTTTGCACTTCTAGATAATAAATACTGGAAAAATCAAATGTCATCACAAAACCAATTGCACACAAGAAAGTTCGTCACTCCGCGCACCAAATGTGATGGCGACGAGAAACATTCTGCCAAGACAACATAAAACACGGAATAACTGTGCTTCATTAAGTTGCACCCACTCGCAGACGGGGCGATTACCATAAACATTGCACCGAATATGGTGCGTAAAAGGAACCAAAACTAGAATTGACTCATTCCATATTGCACGTATATGACTAGTAATGAGATAGCGCGTACAATCATGAAATAAGCACATGCGAACTCTGCACGCTTTGGAAACCATACAAGATATAACAAAAGCCTTTGCAGCATATAAAACTAAGGATTATTGTGTTGTTGACTGCTAGCACGAAGGGGCACAACTTGTTTGTTATAAAACATTTCGCTGTCCATTTTCTACACACTGTTACGGTATCTGACGAACGGCCAAAATTGTTACCCCCTAGGAATAATACGAGCATTCAGATATATCACAGTACCATTTCTGACCATTTAAATATGTTGACTATACACTTGTACATTGTTTGTTCGAAATAACACATCGCAGCTGGACCACATGCAACATAAAACTTGCAACTTGTTGGTCGGTCTTGACGACGCGCCAGAGCAAAAACAAAGACGACAAAATCGTGGAAATCAAAAACAAAAAGGGAGCAGTGATCCGTTCCCACACTGACAAATTTACAGAAATATGTGCCAGTCAACACCGGTATAAGCCACGACGAAACCAGCGCACATCTTTAGGTAGTACAACTAAACCTTTTTCTCAGAAATTCTCTGTTGGCGTTGCTTCATCTGGATAGCACCACATCCACCACTTGGCGGGGGTCTGTCACGCATAGTGGGGGTATGACGCGATGTGTGACGTCATGTGACTGGGGTGGTGCGACGTCATATGTCCCGAAGCGGCCGCTATGTTCGAGTAGAGGTTGGCACTAGGGTTCGGCCAGTAGGACGACGGCGACGGAAATATGCTCCCTGGAACAGCACGAAGCAAAACGATAGCATCTCGTGGCTACATCCAGCAAGAACTCGCATAGCCATAGCTCGCCGAGTGTTGACACATCCATATCCCAGATCTGCGTCCTAGTCATCAAGGACAATGAGCAGCATCTCCGAGATACACAAAAAAATTATCAGTGGAAACCAAAACACAAGACATTTCCGGAGGCCACAAGGGAACACTCTGAGGTCGATCAAACATAGCCCGAAGTAAAAATTTGAGAAAAAAATGCTACGGATTAAATCCGCACCAGTTTGGTGGACGCCTGGCCAGGTGAATGATGGCTGCCGTTTCCAAACATTTTTGGGTAATCGCAAGGCTGATAAAATGACGGCCTCTCGATATCCTGCTGATTTGGCAAGTGCATTATATGGAAAAATGTCGCATGCTTTCACAGATAAAAGGCCTGTTCTGCGAATAGATGAGTCGATCTCAAGTCTAAACCGCCACGTCTCATGATCCCAGAACATCCACAAATAAATATGTCAGGTTGCAGTCTGTCGTCCCTGTCATCGCCGAATTAAGATCAAAGCCTTTAGCGCTGTGCCCACACGCCTGCATGTGTGCACATTGCGCGTGTTATCATCACCAATAGCAGGGGTCATGATGGTAGAGTGAGTTCCATTCTGTCACATGCAGAATCTTTAGGCGTAAAATTGCCCTTGGCACGATCGCATACAGTCATCGGAATCAGCATGGAATATCTGGGAGAGCAAGGTGTAAATGCTGAACCATTTACCCCGAACAGCAAGCCTGACAATGACAAGCTCTGCCGCTTTCGTCGCTTTGAGAAAACATGGCCCCTTACATCTTCCCCTCCCCGCTACATCGGCGAATCTACGTCCACGCCACTTGTCTTCACACATCATCAGCCTCACAGCTATCCCATATGCCTCTCCCCAGAGCGGCGCCATAGCTTCAGCCTCACCCGTGCTGCTGGGCATAGGCGTGTGTGTGCCCATGAAGTTTCAGCTTGGACGAGGGTGATAGCCAGTCATGAAGAAGTCGCCCTGGTACTTGTACGCGGCGGGGGTCAGGTGGCGGGTTGCGTGGCGGCGGCCAGGCCGTGAAAGTCGAACTTGTAGGCGTACCGCTTCCCGTGCACCTTAGTCATGATGTTCTTGTCATAGTAGTACCTGGGAATGCGACGAAACGCTAGAGCGATGGCAAGTGTCAACTGCCGCCACCCAAGGTTTGTCGTGATCGCGTATGCATGACGCTTCGAACTTTACACTGCGCGGTTCAGGAGCCATGACTAAGCATGACACATGAGCCTTAGGCTTCGGGGGGTGACCAGTCGCCCATACCGCCACGGACTGGACCAGATTCGTCTCGAAATGTGCTGAGATCTGGGGTACTGTGACCCGCTCCGGGCTCTGTCGCGAGACCTGACCGGGTTCTGGGTTCTGACTGGGTTCTGACTGGGTGACTGGGAACCCGCGCGACTGGGTTCTGAAGTGTACTGAGCGCCGGGGTACCGTGACCCGCTCCGGGCTCCGTCGCGAGACCTGACCTGAGCGCGCGGCTGAGCTTGTCGTAATTCATGTTAGGCTTGCTCTTGCGCTCGCCCCACTTGCGTGCCACCTCGTCTGGGTCGGAGAGCTTGAACTCGCCGTTGGTGCCCTCCCAGGTGATGATGCTGGCGTTGGTGCTGTCCGACAACAGCTCCAGCAGGAACTGCCACAGCTGGATCTGGCCGGTGCCTGTTGGAGAGGTGGCCGTCGATGTGGTGACGGCTCTCACTTCCGTGGTTTCAACGACGGAGACGATCCCAACGGCGAAGTTCTCCATCCCGGACGGGAAAGTTCTCCCTCCTGAACTGGAAAGTTCTCCCTCTCGGGGGGGGGGGGAAGTTCTCCCTCTCGGGCGGGGAAGTTCTCCCCCCCGGACAGGGAAGTTCTCCCTCCCGGACAGGGAAGTTCTCCCTCCCGGACATGGAAGTTCTCCCCCCGGACAGGGAAGTTCTCCCTCTCGGACATGGAAGTTCTCCCCCCGGACAGGGAAGTTCTCCCTCCGGACTGGGAAGTGCTCCCTCCCGGACGGGGAGTTTCTCCCTTCTGAACGGGGAAGTTCTCCCTCTCGGGCTGGGAAGTTCTCCCTTCCGAACGAGGAAGCTCTCTGTCCCGGACGGGAAAGTTCTCCCTCCCGGACTGGGAAGTTCTCCCTCCTGGACGGAGAAGTTCTACCGCCTAGACTAGGAAGCAAAGCCTCGTTGTCACTCCTCTTAACACCAGATCTAAAGATACATGAGCCTTTGAGTAGCACCGTTCTTCTTTTGTTTGGGTCGTGTCGTGGTATAAGCGTTCGTGTAAATACCGATGCATATTTACTATGAAAACGATGGTAGAGAAGGGAGTGACATTTATCATGGTATATTTTATATTATCGTGTATTGTCGCTTATTACATGATGTTTGTGGTGGTCAGTGCCGTTTAAATAGATGATAGAGATAGACGATCCTCAACTTCTTGCGAGCTTGTGAAACATGAGGATCCTTATTTGTTTGCTAGTGAAAGTATGTATAGACCTGCGGTTACATGTGCTGGCTATGCTGGACCCATAGGGACCTAAACATGTCACGACTCTCCACATAATTAAGCCACGTCAAGGCCAAGGTTTACATGTACCTGAGCTGGCAAGTCTACTGCTTGTGGGGCCAAACATCTGGTACGGATCTGAAACAGACAAAACTGCAGTTACCATCAGAACCGGCTGAGCCTTCAGCCCAAAGTTAGGAAACTGAAGTTTACCGCAATTGTTGTAATCACACAAAAGTTTGTACCTGTTCATGGGTGCATTTCTGTGAGCACAAAGATGCATGCTTAAAACATCGTCTACTACACTGCGGTCCATGCTTAAACGTGTCCGGCACCAGTCTGTCGCCGGGCGCGAGGAGTGACCCCGACCGCACGCGTGAGGCGCGAGCCACGTGCGCCGGCGGCCGGTCGGTGGCAGCGCCGCCGCCGCCGGCCGGCGCCCGCGGCCCAACCTAATGGGGCTCCGCGGCGGCCGCTGACGTGTGGCTAATACGGGGTTCAACACTCGAGCCATGCTGAAAGGCCGGCCGCTTTATTTGGCTCCATTAGCTGTTGGTGGAGAGGCGAGGACGGGGTGCGCCACCGCCGCCACCGCCGACAATGGCCGGACTGACGGCGGCATCATCAGGCCACCGAGAGAGGGAGGGAGGGAGAGAGAGGGAGGGAGAGAGAGATGGAGAGAGAGAGAGAGACAGAGAGAGAGAGAGAGAGAGAGAGGGAGGGGCAAGGGGTATAAGAATGCAGGAAAAGAGTGGGACAGGGAGGGAAAGAGGGGGAGGAGGGAGAGGCATAGAAGAGACAGAGCAGAGGGTGAGGAAGAAAGAGGAATAGAGGGATAAAAAGAGGGCGGGTGATAGAGGAAGATGAAGAGGGAGAGGTAGAAGGAGGGAGACGGACAGAGAGGGGAGGGGAGAGAGGGAGGGAGAAACAGTGGGAAGAGGAGAAAGTGGCACATATGTGCGGTCTTGATATGATCTTGACTGATACCATATCTAGCACTGCAGGGATTCGGGGAGAGGGTGGGGGGGGGGGGGGGGGGGGGCAGTGCAAGCACAAGAAGGAAGCGTTCCTGAATATGCTCTCAGTAACGCAAGCTTGGTAAAGTTTTTTACCTTCATTTCCGATTATGTTAATAAATCAAAGGAATATAGCCTTTTCTGTAAACAAATGAGTTAGTTCCAGAAACTGGCAGGCGGAGCTGGTAAAAGTCGAAAGTCATCAACATTTTTTTTCCTGGAAATATATTCATACGCACAAGATTACGTTCCAAACTCTGCAGTGATGCCACCGCGTACACCCTGAAAAAAAAAACAGGTGACACTGACAACATACTGTCCATCTCTTTGATGCCAAATAATTTAGCTACTTTCTATGTCAGGAAGGCTAATTTACGTATCATATATAGCGTTCAAATAGCAAACAGTTCTTATCATTGTGTGACGTTCTTTAAGATTGGTGCCTTGGACACAAATAAAACTCAATTCGCTCTTAGCTTACTAAATAACTTGAGTGGTTTGCACTGTAGTAATGAGCAAAAGCCCTGGTTAGGTCCTCGTTTTTTCGACATTTGAAACTGACCATGTTCCGACGCGACTAACACTTACAAATGAAGCAAACTTCATAAGCAGCAGCTTAGCTTCAACAATTCCCTGCCTTATTTAAGGCTGATATGAATACCTACAACTGCATCTGATTTCCAGAAGCGAACCTGTGCTGCCCATTTAATTCGTTCAATGGAAATAGGGCCAAATTTCGAAGCTTATTAACACGTAACACCCACTTTAGAGCTATTTGTGCTGCTTCTAACAAGTTAAGTTCTTCCTCAGAAGCCAGTCGGCTTTCACAGATTCCCCGTTTCATATCAGTCAAGTGCCGGCTCAAGGATCGACACTGCGTGACAATATTCTGGCGAAGTTTTCAAGGAGCCGCGACGTATTCTCACGCTCGAATGGTTTCCTACTGACTTACACTTTCATCGAGAGGGTCTATGGCTAGGGTGTCTGGGGCATGAATAACTTCTGGATGTCATACATAAGTACATAATTGCACAAAGTGCTGTCTTGGATCGCGCGTCAGTGCTAAAAGAAAACTATGCATTCGAATTAAGTATAAGAATGACAGTGTGGTAAGCGGCAGCAAATGACTTCCTGACTGCAAGTGCGCACCTTTCAAAGGAACAAAATCACAGTGAGAGGGGACGGGCTAGAGCGCGGTAGCATTATTGAGAGCAAGTATCATCATCAGGACAATGTGGTATACATAAAGAAGCATACACAAGAAACATCCCTCAAGGAGCATCAAAAGGCTTGGCGAAAATCCTGAACACTCAAGCCGGCAGCCATAGCCGAAATCCTGTGGCCGCTTGCCCGCACGGCCATGTGCCCAAAGCCGCAGACAGATAGCCGGAGGCAGACTAGCCAGTGGCCGGGCACTTTCTGCTGGTCTGGCCGCGCGGCGACCACAGAGCAGCCGGGCGGCGGCGGCGGCGGCGGCGGCGTCCGCCTGGTCTATTATCGGCAGCTGATGGCAGCGGCAGTCGGCTGATTGCCGGGGCGGCCAGCCAATCAGCGCCGCCGCCGCCGGACGCTGATGAACGCCGAGACGGATCGCCTCCTTGCCAGGGCGGACGGCGGTGGGGAACGGCTGGAGGACCGCCGGCTCGGTCCAGACCGGCCCGCGTTGGGGCAGCGGATAGTGGGCGGCCTCCCTGCCAGGGCGGACGGCGGTGGGGAACGGCTGGAGGACCGCCGGCTCGGTCCAGACCGGCCCGCGTTGGGCAGCGGATAGTGGGCGGCCTCCCTGCCAGGGCGGACGGCGGTGGGGAACGGCTGGAGGGACCGCCGGCTCGGTCCAGACCGGCCCGCGTTGGGCAGCGGATAGTGGGCGGCCTCCCTGCCAGGGCGGACGGCGGTGGGGAACGGCTGGAGGACCGCCGGCTCGGTCCAGACCGGCCCGCGTTGGGCAGCGGATAGTGGGCGGCCTCCCTGCCAGGGCGGACGGGCGGTGGGGGAACGGCTGAAGGACCGCCGGCTCGGTCCAGACCGGCCCGCGTTGGGCAGCGGATAGTGGGCGGCCTCCCTGCCAGGGCGGACGGCGGTGGGGAACGGCTGGAGGACCGCCGGCTCGGTCCAGACCGGCCCGCGTTGGGCAGCGGATAGTGGGCGGCCTCCCTGCCAGGGCGGACGGCGGTGGGGAACGGCTGAAGGACCGCCGGCTCGGTCCAACCGGCCCGCGTTGGGCAGCGGATAGTGGGCGGCCTCCCTGCCAGGGGCGGACGGCGGTGGGGAACGGCTGAAGGACTGTCGTGGGCTCGGCGCAGACCGGCCACAGGATTTCGGATTTCGGCAGCGGATAGTAGGCGGGAAATAACACCTAACAAAGGCGTAGCAATGCTTCAGAAAAGCATACGGCGATAAGTCCTCTTTGATTCAATTCCTGCCTTGCGTCATGGTTTAAGGTCAATGTCGGACTTTTCAGATGTGGAAGGCAACAATGACCCCGGAACCGTCTTCTTGCACCCCCGGGGCGTGCTCATATACCACGATAAACTAGCATTCCAGCATGACTTAAAGATACGGTATGGGTACAAGTAGGCATAGGTTGCAAAACCCTTGACGTTTTTGAACTATCCAAAGGCTTGTATACCTATTGTGACGAAACCCAGTTTCATGCATTTTATCTTGGTAAACCTGCAGCGTTTGTAACGCAATTCTGTACAAAAGCTGGCAATCATGTACAACCATTGCGTTCTGTAAGTTGTGCCCCGAGACTGAGACGCGGACAGATCTGAGCCCTCGCCTGGCGTGAGAGACACGGGCAGATCTGAGCTCTTACCTGGCGTAGGGGGCACGGGAAGATCTGAGCTCTCACCTGGCTGTCTGAGGTGAGCATGGCTGGCCTCCAGCGATGACTTTGCCACGCTTGACAGACTGTTGTGCGAGTAAGCTGAAACGGAGGTCAGCCAATTAGGAATTCATTGCGCTGTAAGTGCTATCATGTTCAATGACCTCATTTGTCTCTGAAAATTATGGATCGGTACCCGTGAAGCTCTAGAGCAACGCGTAGATTTTGTACGTTGATTCTATGATTTCATGATTTTATATTATATTCCACTGTTAGCGATCATGGCCAGGGGTGGCGCCACATATCATATGTTGGAGGGAGCAGGATTTTCAAGGCGGACAAAGGAGGGTCTCCTCACTGGGGAGTATCCTCCTATCCTCCTTTGTCAAGCCGTTGCATTCATAATATCCAGAAAATACGAGTTGACAACTAACAAAAAATAGAATGAGATCTTCTAATTATCCATCAAAAGGTAGCCGTGACCTCAAAAAGGGCCTCCTGATGCATGGGGGGATGGGCCCCCTAATCTAAAACGGGATGCTCCCGATAAGTGAGCCTGTTTCATATCATCTAATGCTTGCCTCGATGTCTTCAACTACGAAACGTTCCCTTTAAAGAGCCTGCCTCTTAACCCAGAACAAGGCCTCCTAATTCATAAAGATGACCTCCCGTCCTTCCCGAGCATGGGTACACGCCCCCGTTTGTTTAGCGTATTTTGAGATAGGTTTAGCCATTTCTCTCCGCTCAGGCTTCCACTCGTGATGCGAGGCTGCACCCCCGTCACGAGCCCTCTTTGAGAAGACCGACGATCCGCAAAGTTATGCACGACTGGGCTCTGCAGGAGATTCTGAGAATTCGTGAACTGAGCTAAAATATACGAAACTGTTAGCTCACCAATCGTCATGAGCGATAGCTCTCTCAACGGCCTTGCCGCAATACCGCACTGTAGGTGAAACCCTACAAGCCTCTGACTTCCACATGCCCCAAAATGTTTCTTACTGATGAAAAACTAAATGTTGATGACTAAATGATTTCACTCAGCGTTTACTGGGTACCTTAAAATGCATGCAATGCTCACATGTCGTGAGCAACCATATATATATATATATATATATATATATATATATATATATACATATATATACATATATACATATATATATATATACATATATATATATATATATATATATATATCAGCACTGATCAGTCTTTGAACGGGATTGAACCGCATAAATGGCCTCAGTACTGTCACAGTTTACCGTCGAAAGTTTTCAGTAGTTCTGAAACCACCCCAAATTCCAAATACCTGGCTTGCGTGATGCAGCGGCGGTATGGCAGAGACGTCGCCAAGCGCCTGATATTACGAGCGATTACACAGACGGCGGTGGCTCGGAGTGCCGCCCATCAACCATTTGCTGCGATAGGCATCGGATGCTAGCCGACCCCGTAAAGCATTCGGAACGGGCGCAGCTAAATACAGCTGGGCAGTATCGCGCCACGACAGGTCCAACTACAGGTCGCGTCCGACGCCGCCGTCACCATAACACATGACATAGGGCCGCTTGGCTGAGACCCCGGCGACGGTTAGGTGAGCGGGCCGGCGCCGGGGCGTGGATCGAGCTGCGGCCACGCACGCCGCCGGCACACCCCGGGCCGGCTGAGGTACGGCGCGCCGAGGCCTGAGTCATGGGGCCCGGGCACGGACACGGCCCAGGCCCGCCCCGACAAACCGCCCGTGTCGGCAGGGTCATGATGGAGCACCGACACCGGCCCGGCCCCGTCCCGACAAAACTCCGTGTCGGCGGGGTCGTGATGGAAGATTGCCACCGGTCCGAGCCCGCCCCGACAGACCGCCCGTGTCGGCAGGGTCGTGATGGAAGATTGCCACCGGTCCGGGCCCGCCCCGACAGACCGCCCGTGTCGGCAGGGTCGTGGTGGAAGACCGCTACCGGTCCGGGCCCGCCCCGACAGACTGCCCGTGTCGGCAGGGTCGTGATTGAGCAGTGACGTCTCGACAGCGACCCGCCCGCCGCGACGGTGACGAAGGGGGACGGGCCTCGGCGGCGGGCGAGCGGCGACGGTGACGAAGGGGGACGGGCCTCGGCGGCGAGCGAGCGGCGACGGTGACGAAGAGGGACGGGCCTCGGCGGCGGGCGAGCGGCGAGGGGAGGGGGCAGTCTGTAGCGGGACATGATGTTCTCTTCAGAGGGGCGGAGCGATGGGTAGTGGTTCGCATCAGAGGTAGTTTTATAGGGGGGGGGGGGGGGGCGGAGCCGCCGCTCATGAGTCACGTGACAGGGAGTGACGACATCATCACTGTGAGTCAGAAGAAATGCCTTCACCGCTTATGAGTCATGAGTCACACGACAGGAGTGACAACATCATCACTGTGAGCCAGAAGAAATGCCTTCACCCGCTTATGAGTGATGAGTCACGTGACAGGGAGTGACGACATCATCACTGTGAGCCAGAAGAAATGCCTTCGCCCGCTTATGAGTCATGAGTCACGTGACAGGAAATGACGACATCATCACTGTGAGCCAGAAGAAATGCCTTCGCCTGCTTATAAGTCATGATTCACGTGACAGGGAGTGACGACGTAATTACTTTGAGCCCGAAGGGACGCTCTCATTGTACAATCCTGACGCAAAATCTACACCCTGAATAAAACACGATGGCTCTTTGTAACTATTTAGATCGGAATGCTTGCTGAAAGGCTGCCTTGAATCAGACACTGCGTGGAAACGATACCCAAAGCATGACGAGGACCCTGGGCCGGAGCATTCCAGACCGTGTTACCAGCCCGAGAATAGCAGCCACCGTGCGTGGCGTGTCCAGGGCTCGTGCCAAAGTGGCTGCACCAGTGCACCATCGATATTAGGCCGAGGGCGAGCCACCGTGCGAGCGGGTCATAACTCAGGTCAACGCTGAAACTTCGCTTGGGGCGGATGTCGGCCACCGACATTGTAAAACCACTTGAAACTCAACAGAGAAAACGATACACAAAAATCCGCACGCTACCAAGCAATCCTAGTCTGCGATGCTCCGCGTGTGTTAGCACGCAACCAACCAGTTAATGAAATTGGCAGCGCGAATAAGAAGTAAATTCAATACAACGGAATCACTGTTCCGAGGCGTATTATGCGTTGATGAAGTGACACGTGCGTACAACAGCAGTGGTTCATGTGATTAGAAAAATCACCTTGTTTGTCAGCAACAAACCTAGTATGTTGCATCTCCGTACCAAATGCTGCCCGCAATGACATTTTACAAATGCGACGCAACACAAGGGCAATGTCCTTTGATACGCCGCGTATCGTAGCCCACACACAATGCGACCTGTTTTCTAGGTAATGCCTGCTTACGGGTCTGTTTGTAGAATAACACAATAAAACAAGGCAATCTGTGCGGGGTCACTCGCTTTCGGAGCCCCTTTGAAGGCTGACGGTGGAGAAAGAATCTGCTCGTTAGGCTCAGATTCAATTTGTTTAATCTGGCTCGGGGCTGGACCGACGGACCCTTCCACGGCCGCCAACAATGCTCATCCATCGTAAATTGGGTATATGTAGCCATCAAAGCGATTCACACATGAATTACGACTAACAAGAGCGCCCGAGGGAGGCGAGCGGAGAGGAAGAATTGAAAGTAACTGGGAACAATCCCATTCAGCAACGATAATGTGTGCTAATGACCGCACGCGCGCGAAAGACCGAGAGGGAGAAAGATAGAGAGAGAGAGAGAGAAGAGAGAGAGAGAGAGAGAGAGAGAGAGAGAGAGAGAGAGAGAGAGAGAGAGAGAGAGAGAGAGAGAGAGAGAGAGAGAGAGAGGAGAGATAGAGAGAGAGAGAGAGAGAGAGAGAGAGAGAGAGAGAGAGAGAGAGAGGAGAGAGAGAGAGAGAGAGAGAGAGAGAGAGAGAGAGAGAGAGAGAGAGAGAGAGAGAGGGGGGGGGGGAGAGAGAGGGGGGGGGGGGGGGGGCGTCAGGAACGGAGTCAGGCGGCATGACCAGGTCATGACAGCGAAGAGGCGGGGCATGATCGAGCCCCAGTCGTGCTGACAAGACCGGCCCGCAGCTTATCAACCCAGAAGATTGGAGCCGGAGGAGTATGCAAATCCCCCTCTCTCTCCCTCTCTCTCTCTCTCTCTGTCTCTCTCTCTTTCTTTCTCTCTCTCTCTCTCTCTCCCTCTCTTTCTCTCTCCCTCTCGCTCCCTCTTCCCTCTCTCTCTCTCTTTATCTCTCTCTTACCTCCTCCTTTTCTCTCTGTTCTCCCTTGTCCTCTCTCTCTCTCTCCCTCTCTGTCCCTCTCTCTTTCTCCTCTCTCTCTTGCTCCCGCTCTCCCCGTCCAGACAGTGAGCGTCGGTGGTCTGTGACTAATGGTCCGACGCATCCTAATGAATGTCGACGCCACACACATTTCTACACATTCACTGATGATGATTCACCATGACGGGCTTGTGGGGAAGGCGAGCAGCATTTGGTGACGCAGAAGCGCTGCATGAGCTACGCATGTCGAAAGACGGCCGAAGAGTAGGCCGGAGCTGCGCGTCTCCCGAAGAGTTCCATCGTCCCAACTCTCAGCCCACCCCTGACTCCGGTTGTTATCGCCGTCACAGTCTCCCCACAGCCTGTGCCGTCACCACACCAGTCGCGGCACATCCCCCGATCGCCAGACAATCTCTCCCCGGAGGGCGGCGCGCGTTTGTTCACCTCGCGCGCCAGCGCACGAGGAAAGACTTTTCTTGTCGCATTTCGCGGCCGACTGGCTTGCCAAACAGAGCGCCGCACGCTCTATCGGGCCGACGCGACGCGCCCGGCCGGCGACAGATGGATATTGCTACGGATACATCAATTGATGAAATTCAACAGCGGCGTCCAGAGGTCGCGCCGCCACCGCCGGCGCGTCGGCTAGCCGGGCACGCCGCCGTGTTTGGTTAGAGGGCCGCGGGCGCTATTGATTTTTGCGGGTGCCGCCGCCACCGAGGAAGAGGAGTGTCGGCCGGGCGGTGATTGCGGAGGGTGGGGGAGGGGGAGGGGGTCAGGTCAGGGAAGGGTTCAGAGGGGGCTCACGGTCCGTGGACTGCCTCTTGATCGAGATTTCGAAAGACAGTTATAATGTTTTCTGAGGAACTGATCACAAACTAGATTTTGCTGGAAAACCAGCATGCATACTTAATAACAGTGTTGAGTTGCTGCCGACGGCTGCAACTGCATAGTGATCTTGCATTGTTCTCTGCGACGTCCTAACGTCTTGCGACTGCATCAGTACTGACCGTTTTGGTCCCCAGTCGCATATCTCCTTCGAAGTTATGACATCTGAGGAACCAAATAGCCCAATATCTGTGTCATGATTTGCCGGTGACTCAATTTGCCACACGCATCGCTGCGCGTTCAGAGCGTTTTATCCGTGGTTGTTTTAAGAGTGATCCACACAGTGTGGCAAATGGCATCGCCGACGTGTTTGAATTCTGGCATTCTTCTCTTTTAGTTTTTCGTTGCTAATCTTGGCACGCATTCGACCACAAAAACAGCAGCAACAAAAGAGCATCAAATAGCACGCTCAACGGCTTTTTGAAGCCGACCTAGATTTACCTGAATGCCTAGTGGAATATGTCCAATTAGCGATGAAAAGCTGGGCCTGCGGCCGGCCACAGCTTTACGGACTTCCGGCGCCACTGTGACGTCACAACACAGCCATGCTTTAACCGAGTGCAGTTCTTACCTTGTGTCTGAGAAGTATGCGCGCCCCACGCCGCCTTGTATGCGGGATCTGTAATAAGGACCCAGTTGTCAAAAATTTCGCCACAAAATTGTGCCAGCAACCTGGAATTTAATGGCTAGATAATGAGGTCAGTCTTAACACAACAAGTGAAGTCTCAACGTGCACTTATCCTATCCCAGATATTCATCCAATCAAAATGACCGGACCGTTTTGCTCAAATCTGATTAGATTCCCCACTGACGTGGTATGAGAAGGCCACAGAGATATGGGACAGAGAAGAGAATGACATTTTGTAATGTCATGCAACATTATGAATTCCATGGAAATATTCCAAAAGCTGGGCATCCATTCACTCGGAGTGGGTGAGCACTGTTTGCCTTCCGACCCAACGACGGAGAGGGGTAGCTGGCCCACCTCACCATTTGGCCTTACATTGACCTTTCCATGACCACGAAACGAAATTATGGGGGGGGGGGGGGGCTCAGAGTCTATAGAATTCACCGATGCCGGAGGGACTCAGTGCTCTGAAAATAGTGACCGATTTCAGGTCAGTCTCAATGCTCGCAAACACAAAGTCAAAAGTTTAGCTACTCGTAACGTAGACCGAAGCCTTTGGAGCAAGGCAGGCAAAATAGCATTGGGTCAGACCGGGAGCAAAAGTATCTTGTGACCCGTCCAATGCCCAGCAGGGTCCCCATGGGTCAATGAGCTTATTCGGCAATGAAAGGGTAATAGACCCACCAAAAGTGACTCGCGTGCTTTGGGATCATAATTTTGCACCAATGTCGCGACCGATGTACCATTCAGTGCACATGAACAGTGGAAAAGCAACTTGTGTAGTGAAGCACTTTCGTAAGACGTCTTGGTTCAGTAACCCGACATGACCTGCGGCTGATTTCTTTGAAAAAATGCAATTGACAGCAAATGGGTTCATAGCCATCTGAAATGATGCGACGCAGCGTTTATCGTTACTACGCGGTTTCAGAACTGCTGTTATTGAGGGATGGCACCTACACTCCCCCGGCCCACCGCCGACAGAGGGTGAAATTCCGTTATACGAGATGGAAAAGTGCACACTCGCTGTGTGCCATGAAGGCGAACGCTCCGCCAATGAGAATGCTTTGTGTACGCTCCTTGTACGCCTAAGCTTCCTCTTAATTATTCTCAGCTGGGGGCTTGGCAACTGATGACTCAAAAATGGCACCTCTTCAACATACAAAGCTCTTTCGAATAAACATTTGAATTGCATATTACCATGAATCCTATTTCATATGCAAATATCAGAAGGGCGACTGCGTCGGTTGCATCGGACCCCCAACTTGCTCAAGATTATGGCAAATCAGCTGCTGTGGAATTTAAACCAAGGAAAAGGGGTCTGGAAAAGACACCGGGACACTGACTCGTTTTGTGAGTGGATTTCATCAAATTTATTTAGATGATCATAAACGGTGATACCCAGTTCCAGACAAAGCCAAACGACCCAACTCGCGCCTCTTAAAGCATTTCAAAGCATCTTCAAGAAATATACATAATGAAATACATGATGTTTGCATATGTATATAAAAACATGCATATCTAAAGATATATATATATATATATTGTTTACTTTCTTCCGAGATGTATTTTCGATCTTGTGGATCAAACGCTTGCCCTCTGCTTTCTGGGTTGCAGTTGTTTAAGGCAGAAGCCAATCTCGTTGCAAGAAGAGTCCAACCGAACCGTATTCCTGTCACGTTGTTTATATGTCGTCGATATTTCGTCAATGCTTTGACATTTCCAAGGCGTATTGCCTACATCACATTCACCATACAGGACTTATGTTAGAAAACACCCATTATGGTTTATGATTAGCTGATACAACGCGGAATAATCTAGTCTACGCACCGCAGTTTTGGAGCAAAATACAGAGAGCCAGCGGAATTCCTTTCATCTCCCGCTTGGTCACGAACACACGATGCATGCTCGGTGTCCAGAGGATATCTAGGTATCCACAGAATCCACGTGCCAGGTATCTACAGTATTTTAAAACAAAAATCGTGTCCGCTGATTTCAAGCACCTAAATGACATCCCGCAAGGTCTCCATCTTTTCAGGTACTCTATCGTAGCATAACAGGTCTTATCTGTGTGCCCAACGTAGAGGGCTATGGTCCCCTCCGCGTTGACTTGTCTGTTGATAGATAGGTCCATGTCGCATAGTTATACAGCCTCGGGCACATGCACTTGATCGACTCACGTCGAGGTATCTGTCTGCGAGAGTGATGCTATCTACCATATGTTGCCTGCTAAGTCGCTTACGACATCTATGAAGTCTGCATACGGAATCCCACCATGACCAGCGAGTCATCAGGCAACAAATGGTAGATATCACCACTATCAAGACAAATGTCACGATGTCAGTCGACTGTATGTGCTCGAAACTGTATACATGCACGACATGGACCCATCTATCAACAGACAAGTACACGCGTGGGAGCCCCTCTACGTTGGACACACGGATAAGACAGAGATTGCAGATGATGATGATACGCAGGGATTGTGTTTCTAAAAAATGAGAACTTTGGTGGAAAGCAGCTTATGAAATGCTTCCGATTATTGTAGCTTTCAAATAACTACCTGTGGATAACTAGCACACACCATGTGTTCGTGAAAATGGTACCTGAAAGGCGTTAAAAAAGACTCTGTATTTTGCCTCAAGTCCACGGCATGCAGACTAGACTGGACTAGACTATTCTGTGGTTTATCAGCAGATGGTAAGCCATGATCGGTACCACCTAACATTGTTATGTGTGATAAATGTGACTTATGTGTATCGTGTCATGTTTGTCTTGTGCACTCCATTTTTCTTCAAGCTGCCATTTTTTATGTATTTTGATAACAGAACGTATCTTTGCATTCATTGTTTTGTTTTCAACGCTCTAATAGAGTTGCCATGAATATTCCGTTAGATGGTGCGCGTTTTCGTCAATGTGAAACGTCTCTCGTGCTCCGAAGGACCTTAAACACAAGCACAAAATCCTCCCATTTTCACAAAGCGTTGTGCGAGAGTTAGTTGAATACTTGTCGCGCATCATCCGACATCTGCCATGACCGCTGGCGCTCATATTACATCTCATATAAATACTAGCCATATGACATGGGTTCTGGTGTCCACACAAGCTGCCCCAAAGCTTACCAAATCTTCATTTGAGGTGTGAATGGACTGTCTTTGCTTGAGGTATGAATGAATGAGTGGCATGTTCACCCACATCAATTTCCCGACTCTATATAAAGTGTGTTGGACCTTCTGAATCATAACAGGAGAATCACATGTATGCAAATGCATTATCAGCGTACAATTTGTCCATAGTTAATGTACGTGGGAGTAAAGTAGATAGGACACAAACCAACAAGTACCTACCCAACAGCAACGTCTTTTTTTGGTGGACGCAAAGAGTACCTAATTCACTTTTGGTGAGAAAGTCAGCTTTGGTCTATGGTTGTACAGAACATCATGCTCATTTTTAGAAACATTAATTGGGGAGGGGAGCGGATAAACAAATAGTTGTGAGGAGGTCACATGCCGTTCTGACAGACACATGCAAATGGATCAGTGGAAGCAGCATACTTAATTTGAAGCTGGTGTTCGATTCATAAATTTGACTGAATGACAAGTTGAACAGAAACTAAGGCGTGTCATGGAGCTTCACTTTCTACCTTTTTCAAACAGGAGTTTGTATTTCAAAACTCTGTGGCGTGCTTTCTACTAACAAAACATGCTCCTGCCCTGCGTTGCAACACTAAAATGCAATGTCACCCACAGGGGCCAAATGAGATTGCTGACAAGATCAGCAGAATTGATAGCTATGTTATGATAAGATAGGATATTAGGTACTTAGGCAATGTAGTTACCTTGGAAGGAATGGGAGCTTTTGTTTTCCATAAAAAAACATTTACGACTGTCACTCATTCACATCAAGTTGTCAATGGAACATTTTCATCGAAAAGATTGTTCGTAGACTATGTGGCTGAGTTATGTTATATGCAGGCTGATTGCGCATTACTTACAACTGAAAGTGCTGTATCTTATTGGTTTAAATGCTCTTTTCCGGGTTGATGCCATTATTTACCATTACTGGGAATATTTAGTCATAATTTCCAGTTGATAAATTTCCAATCTGTTCCATCCATATGAACTGGCAAATTAAAAAATCCAGTCGGTCCTAATCCATGTTTTGGTGGAAATTTCTGCTCCGCCTCAATCCAGCCCGCAGATTGGTCCACAATACGAGAATTTATTGAAATCCGTAATGTGATCTAGTGACACTAAGCCTACAAAAAGTGGTATGTATATATCTTGCAGTTTATAATAGTGCTGAAAAACATAACTTCGTGCGGAACCATGCGTGATTTCTTGGTCATTGACTTGAAATGCTTGAAAAAGGTACCCACAGTACAGCCATATTCGTGTGTTGAGAAAAGAGCAGGTAAAGTCAAATGACTGTTGCGTTGCACTTTTCCAATCATGGCTGTGTGAAAGGCGCTGCCCAAAAAAGTAAAAAGGGTCCTATGCTATTCCAGGAATTATTATTTCAGCGTGAAGACCTTCATTTACTCTTATACGGCAAAAAGTAATATATAGAAAAGACTTCCCACCAGAGTGCGGGAGTCAGCCTGCCTTCCATTGGGGCTTACTCCTTTGGACCGCTGCCCGCCCGTCGCCGTTGCATCCCCGTTGCGTTCTATAACATTGAGGTACGCTAAGAACCAACGTGGAACAGACTGTGAAATGATGAACACATTTTGCAGCCCATCGTTAAGAAGGGAGTAAACAACTTTTCCAAGTTTGGAATTGTATTAATTGTTTCAATTATATGATTTGCATATGTTCTTGCAATGTTGCAATTATGTCCATTGCATATGTCGTTCGATCGAGACCCTAGAATGATTGCGTTTCGAGAAGTATGTTAAAAAGTCTCGGATGCAGATGTTATCGCCCCAATGTCATGTTCTACGCCAGACACAACTCCGTTCAGAAAATTCCATAAATGCAAGAATGTAGTAATTTCCAGAAAAAATTTCAAAATAGGAACGGGGGAATTGGTTGATAAGGGCAGCGATTTGTAGCCCAACGCTTTTGGTTAATTGGAACAGTGCTGGCCTGCTGCATCTTTTCGGAAACGTTTTCTGTGTAAGTGAGTGTGCACAGCTGTGTTAACGGTGCAGTACACAGTACACATCACAACACTCACGCATGATCACAGCACCAACGGCGTTGTTCCGCAAGCCTTGCTCCGGGGAACGTCTCACAACATTAGTGTTGTAGGGCTACATGTATATAACATCTAACGAGACCTCAACACTGGAATCATTGGGGTTTATGGACAATGGTTTATGACCTATGAACGATGAGAGAACGTCTTTTCTAAATGCACCTCCAACTTCGCCAGCACCAAATTATTTTCAATGAGGGCTGTAAAAGACAGCACTTAAAGCGACACCCGGCTCTGACGTTGGAGTAGATTCAACGAATTGCGATAAACATTGGCCGCGAGTCAAGATGAATATGCTTCCGTGCTTGTTGTCCTCATTTTGTTCGCTGCGGGATCTGATGCAGCACGTCGCAAATCATTGATCGTCATATGGCCACCGTGTGCTTTGTGCGCTGGCTTTGGCCTTGCACATGCATTTCATGGGACCTAAAATAAAACAAATGCCCCTGCTATCATTTCAGACATTTTGCGGTGTCCGACGTCCATGTCCCGAAAATGTGCCTTCATTCGATTTTGCGACATGGAGAGGTTCATCCTCAAGTGGTGCAGACTAGAAAGGACACTGTTCCGGACGGTCCCTCAGTACGGCGGTACAGCATACCAATCCAGCTTTTGGTCCGTCGTCGGTCGGAGCCAGTGCGCTGGATCCAATTGGCTAAAATCCGAAACCGAAGTCCAGCGCACATCGGAAAAACAGTCCCCTCACGTGAAGCGCACCCAATAGAACGGTAGGGCGCTCTAGAAAAGTCTGTTAGCACAGCAAAAAAGCACAGCAGAAAATCACAGCAGGATACGGGCGTAAGCAAATATGGAACAAATCAAGCTCCAAGGACGAAATCCCACGCTAGTTTGATGGAAAAGCGCGGTCACGGACAGTGGAACGGCGTGGCCATTCGTATTTTGACACGAAGAGGGCAAGCCTTGTCAGAAAGCAATAGATGCTCCTTAAAATCCAAGAAACATGAGACGAACGTAGGATTGTGACGCTCAGTTCTTAACAAAATAAACCAAACGCAACTGAAGTGTTGCTGCGGTTATGTCATGTAAATCTCTACTGGGACATCAGAAGAGCCAACTTGAGCTCGTCACAAGGGGTGTAATTCCCTTTATGATATGCAGAGAACACATTTATCACCTTTCTGTTTGCAATGCTAAATATCAATGTAGTGACCACGGCTGTGCAAAAGGGAAGGACTGTCTAAAGTCGGCAAGGTTTTGGACTAAGTCTAAGATTATAGCTGGGTGAATGTTATGTTGCAGATGAAAACTGTTGGTAGTGTGAAGCGGAGACTGAACAGGCTTAAGCAGACAGGTCTCGGCCATCTCTGAGTACAATCCACCCGGGGTCTGATGATTGGCTCCAGTTGAGTATGATGTTGAGCCAACCATAAGTCTGACTTGTAATCCTCAGACTAATCTGTCGCTGCCAGACTGCCCACTGGTCTGCGCCTGGCCGTGTGCTTCTGTCTGCCAGCACCGGCCGTCTGCTGACCTACTTAGACCAGCCAGCGCCGGCCGTCTGCTGACCTGAGACCAGCCAGCGCCGGCCGTTTGCTGACCTGAGACCAGCTAGCGCCGGCCGTCTCCTGACCTGAGACCAGCCAGCGCCGGCCGTCTACTAACCTGAGAACAGCATGGACAAGTTGGTAAGCGGCGTGCCCCGCGGCAGGTAGTCCCCGGCCAGTGGCGTCGGCGGACTCTTCAGGTCCAACATGGCGGTCAGCCACGACAGTCGTCTGACGCCAAGTCCCCCAGCTACCTGGACAACACGGCGCGCCCCTGGACCGTATGGTCGGACGCCGCACGCGCCCCGTTTGTCGACTCTGCCCCGTCGCCGCCGCCCGCACTGTCGCCGCCGCCGTCGGTCGCCAACACCGCCGACAGCGACGCTATCTCATCACTCATCGTCGGCATCGATCAGAGGGGCGGGGCCTCGCTGCCGCGGCCAATCAGCGAGCCGCGCCGCCGCCAGAGAGGAAATCACGAATTCCGGTTGGTTGATAGCACTCCGGAAAGGCAACCGGAAACCAACAAGAACGACTTTTCTTTAAGTAATGGCGGTGGAAAATATGGCATACAATTTGCCGATGATGAATTCCGCTGCGGTCGAGGCTGTTTGCTTGCGCCGGTTCTGGTAGCTGCAGTCCGCGTCGAACGCGGCGATGTTCGGGCTCTGATAATTTATTTGATGGGAAGCAGGAGAGCCTGAGCGGCGCTCGTTTGAGATCCCGCTGAACAAATCCTTGAGAACACTTGGCCGAGCCTCGCTGTCCCGCCAGTAACGGATCGCTGCTGTCTGTTCTCCGAGAGCGAAGCAATCACGAGGAGCCGGCTAGTCGGGCCCTCCACGCTCACAAAGTTTTGCAACACACGTCGCTCATCCTTGATATATTTGGAGGCAAACCAGGGTAAGGATTGAACAGAATCCTATTTCCCAAGCAGTGACACAAAAGACTAAACACTTCTGGATGGATGAAGTTTTGTGTTTGCTATCATGTTGAAATAGTAGATGCAATATCACGCAAGTACGTAAGTTTGATACCACCCACACCCATCTCCCAAAGTAGGGCTTTTAACTCCTGCAACATGTGACCATCATTTCCGCTCCAATTTTCTCCAGTTCCTCAACGTCACCGACGAGTAGAGCGTCTCAATGTCTCGCTCTGCTCGCTCCAATCAGTGCTTCAGCCCGTCCGAACTCTGAGAGGTTGCCCGAGGACGACCCCGCTCCGGCGCGCGACCCGATCGATCTGGAGCCGTCGCGCCCCGAAGGCGACGCACCATGGCCGCCGGGCCTCCCCCGCCGGCCGTCGATAATATCGTGCGCACCTTCCGGTCCGCTCACACCGCGCGCAAAGGACGCCGAAAAGCGCGGGAAATGGCAGGAGGAAGCGCGCGGCAAGCGGCCGCCACTCCGCGGCTTCCGGCGGGGAGGGGCGGGACGGAGGCGGGCGGGGAGGTGCGGTACGCCGTGCTGAAGGTGACCCACCGGTGCTAGATGGAAGCCTAATTGACCGATCAAGGGTGTAGGACTTACGATTGACGAGGACCCAGCGTAACACACTGGATGCCTGTCAACCGCCTGGTCAGTTAATTGTAAACGAGACCATACGTTCCGAGAAACTAAATGGCATCTCCAGCGTCTCAAACTTGCCCCGCCTCAGAAACAACCAGGCGAAGGTCAGTTTGATGTACCAGGCATCGAAGCTTCACAATGAGCACATGATCTTAAAAAGGTGCAGAAGAAATAAATGCGCCTGTGCTAAAGTGGCATCTGAAGCTATGTAAGTTGAGCTGAATGCAGTGTACCTACGCTTAACATGCTTTTGACAGAGCACTGTGCTGACATTTAATTTTGCTGGCTCATCTGTCGCTTGTAAGATGAATTTCTGGCTGTCAGTAACAACGTTTGTACGCATTTTCTGCGTTCAGATATGACGAACGCCTGTGGCCGATCCATTGTCCATACGTGTCGACATGGCTGGATGGTGTACCGATATGCGATAAGCAATAAACGGGCAACACGCCGGAATTCGGTCCATAAGCAGACCCGTGAAATGACAAAAAAAGCGTTGGCTCCTTTGTGTGAGTCAGCGGACGAAAAGATACTTACGTTGAGGGCGCCACCTATCGAGTTGAAGTGAAATTGCTTGGGCGCCAACTGGATTAGGCAGGTCCGATCGTAACTTCAAGACAAATTGTTTCTTTTTTTCCAAATAGCTCAAATTTATTATATCGCCGGATTATTCTGGAGGTTGTTGATTGCTATGCTTTTCTCACCGCATTCTCACCGGACGCCTCGCTTACTAGGGCCGGCACCACTGACCTTAAGGCCTCGTAATCCCAATTCCTATCTACTACAGTTTCTTTGGATTCCATCCACTGGTCCTTTTAAAATATCATTACACATATATCACTGAATAAAACATGTTGGCCTAGTAAGGTCTCCTAACTGCATAATCGGTGATTTCTCTTTGACTGGCGCACCATATTTCATAGCCGTATCATACTCTTCATGACTTTCAAGCCCCTGGCGTAGCGTATTTGAGATCATCTGGGGCCTCCGGTCGACCGATGGGCAGGAGGCATGTATATATATATATATATATATATATATATATATATATATATATATGTGTGTGTGTGTGTGTGTGTGTGTGTGTGTGTGTGTGTGTGTGTGTGTGTGTGTGTGTGTGTGTGTGTGTGTGTGTGTGTGTGTGTGTGTGTGTGTGTGTGTGTGTGTGTGTGTGTGTGTGTGTGTGTGTGTGTGTGTGTGTGTGTGTGTGTGTGTGTGTGTGTGTGTGTGTGTGTGTGTGTGTGTGTGTGTGTGTGTGTGTGTGTGTGTGTGTGTGTGGTGTGTGTGTGTGTGTGTGTGTGTGTGCGTGAGTACCCTGTTTGACTTCTGTATTCCATCCCATCTTAACAGGGCGTGCCGCCATGACATCAACAGAACTGTTGTCTTTGAATAATACAACATTTAGTCCCTACGCACTGCTTCCAGCGATTAATCGCAGTTCATGGTGGTTGTGATGGAAGGAGGCTACAAGCTCTTGGTTTTTCACCACTTTGATCATCAAATATCGTCTTAAGTTTATTTTATACGGAATGGTTCGCACCTAAGTTAACCAGCGTTGTCCACAACAGTGCCAAGTGCAACTGTCGCGGTCATGACTGAGGTGGCATTTGACCGCCAATTCAACGGCAAAACATGATGAGCGACAGTGGATGTGAAGTGATCTAAGGTATGTGGTTATGTGTATATATCACTGATCCCGCATCCGTCAAATCGTAACTTTACGACAGATGCTCCAGATGACCGCCGACGGTCCCGGACGCGTGACAGCCGGATCTGCCGCAGGTGGTCGGTTGTCCGGCAGATGGCCGCCGACGGTCCAGGACGCGTGAAAGCCGGATCTGGTGCAGGTGGTCGGTTGTGCGGTCCATCTTGTCGACCGTGACACGTCCCATCTCAGGTCTGATGGCTGCCTTGAGCTCACGAAGATTCACTGGCTTGTCCATTAGGACGTGGTCCTTCAGGAAACCTTACAGCATGAAATCCAGGTGCGGTAAGTCGGGCGCGTGGAGGTCCCACAGCGCAGCAGTCTTCAGGCTGGTGTGCTGCTGCTCGGACGGTCCGGCGCAGCGCGTGCCGGGGGCGGTGTCGCTCCGGCCCTCTGGAGCCACCCTTCGTCTCGATCAGTCTCAAGATCCTTAGGGCTTCCAGAAGGGTAGCAATAGAGCGGTATCGATGTAGCGCTCCGAGATGGTGTTGAAAGGATCCTCGGTCTGGTCTTCAAAGAAACATCTTCTGTAGAGTCACGATTTTTCAGTCGATTTTTAACCAGATGTGCTTGCGGAGGGAGAGGCAGTACCATGGAGGCACTTATGCTCCTATGCCCGGTTAAAAAGCCTTTCCAAGGCCAAAAATCAGGAGGAGGGTTCCAGCAACCTCGGACACCGTAGTCTCACATTTGGGAACATGGCCTACCGCTTGATGCACAATAAATATTGCAAAATAAGGGTTAATTGATTTATTTTTGGGTTGCTGTTTTCCCGCTTGAATCTGTTAAGCAGTTTTTTTGCACATCAGGCGTTAATTATTGGCTCAATCGGCGCTTGCAATACCTAATCGTTCATAATAACTTATCTGCATTGTTCTTGAAATAGTTATTTAGGTCCCTTCCAAACATTCCACGATGGGTTATGAACATGATGAACTTTCCGGTGATGCTCAAATTAAGGACAGGTTCGGTTTCTAGGGAGAGGATAGGGACCGGTAGGGATGATCCGGCGCCCACTAGCCTATGTTGGAGTCTAATATTAGCGCCAAGGTGGTATATAGAAGGAAAAAACTCAAAACGGTGTTTGACTCACCCGTTTTTTGTGATGTTCCTATAAACCTGACTTCCAGGGCTGCCGCCCCTGGGGTATTCTGCCTGCTGGCCACGAAAACCGAAGGCACTGAGTTACGAGCACTGAAACTTCGCAAACAGAATGAAAGCTGTATTTAAGACCGCGGCACGGTTGTAATATGCAAGATCGGGGCTAGGAAGGCGTGACAAGTCTTCATGTACAAAAACACAATTTCATTAATGTCCTAAAATTCACGGGTATACGGGCCTTATACGAGCCAGCGGGTGTCGGGAAGTGCCACTGCGTCTAGACATGCGTCTCGCCGTCTAGACGTCACATCAAGGCGAACAACGTTCGCACCGGCGTGACCAAGACACATCCACATTCCACGGAAGTGGACCGGACCAATATCTGCGTCGTATAAAGCGGAAGGAATCCAAAACGACGCGGCCATTGCACGCGGCGAACCGCGGCCAATGCAGGCTCAAAACGTGCCTGCTGTTAGCATACGAACCCCATTGGACCGGCATACCATTCAGTCACGCGGCTGCCTCCTAGAATTAGCGAGCTGCACAAGACTGACCCGTACTCAACAGTGGCCTTCGAGCTCTATAATAGTGCAGGGCAAAGGGCGGTTAACACGAGCGTCGAGTGGAAAAGAGTTAAATGGTCGTTTCCTGTAGGGGCCTAACTGTGTGGTCCCACAAAACGCCTTCTATTCATCACAGAGGGCTTGAGTTTAATGTTCACATTTTTTGCGTACAGCGAATCCCAGTACGGGACTACAGATGACCAGCAAAAACATCATGCGGCACCTATTTGGCCCTTTGGAGCTTTACGATGCACTCAGCTGCTGAGGCTGTGTGGCGCTGCATAGCGCGTACATTGGCAAGATGGGCGGGAATTTTTGTGAATGAAGTCTAGTAGTACCTCTGGTCTCTCGGACCAGCAGATTAACTACTGTGCTACCGACTCCGCTTCCGTTTGTCCCGTCCC